AAGTCTTGCTCAAGCTTCACCACCACGCGATCCATCGCTCCAAAGCCTCCGACTTGCCCTTCACGCTTGCAATCGGTCCATCAAGCCAAGTCTTGTCTTGATCTTCTCTACCTTGATCACATGACTTAATGTCATGTCTCATGTGCAATAAGCTCCTTCGTTATCACATGTGTGAGCTTAGCAACATCTCCAAGCCATTTTTACCTTCATGGCATATGTTGCTCACACACATGTACCTGTGGACCAATCACCTGTGTATCTCGCATAAAAACAATTAGTCAACCTAGGTTGTCACTCAATTACCAAAACCACACAAGGACCTTTCAACCGCCATGTTGCAGGGAGCGGCCCCGACAGAGGTGACCCGACCAAGACCCAACAAGGCATGGCAGCACAAGGACACAACCGCACGAGTGAGGGCAAGGGTCATGTTGTTTAATGCTTGGGAGGAGCCTTTAGGGGGTGCCTGTATGGCCATGTGCATGCCGCAGCGCGACCTCGTGACGCGGCAAGTCACGCCACGACGCCAAAAGTAGAGCTGGGTAGGTGTGTTGAGTGGCGGAGGGCGAGCGCTGTAGTGACCGAAATGACAAGAGGACAAGGCGCAGCCCTACATTTCGCTCGGATAGCGCTATGGTCAGCAGCATCCCATGCATGGTGGAGAGCAGTTGCGGCCACACCTGGCTCGGCGGGCAGCCGATGGCCACACGGTTGGCCAGCGAGATAGCAGTCACGGCCACAGGGTAAGCTAGCCAACGCGTGGCACAGCGCGTGGTAGCAGTGGCCGATAGTAGTGCAGGTAGCCCGTGATGGCGTGACACCAAACGCGGTGACCATGTCCCTGGGCCCGAACGGCCGAACCACGTGCTTGCACGATTTTTGGAGCGCGCCAAACTTCAAACCTAGCTCGGTGGAGGTTCAACCAAAGTTACCAACCTAGGGTCGATATTAACACCTAGCTGGCAAAGCAAACCACGCTCTCAGAGAGCGACCAGAGAGGGAAATGGAAGGATGCCAACATGAGCTCGTCGCGCTGAACACCCGTTCACGACCGAAGCCCGAAAGAAAACCAACAGCGAGTTCTAACGAAGTTAGGGCAATTTTTGCGACGCCACAACAACCCCAACTCATCCGTAGGCTACACCCTGCTAAAGCACTCACCTAGAGGCAACCAACAAAATGAAACTGTGGAGCTAGTGATTAAGTATTTTAGTTAAAACATAAACGCCATGATGACATTGTCTTCTTCTTTTTAGTCTTAGAAGGTCCAGAGCTCGGATTCGATGTTTGAGCTCCCAAAACTCTGGTTAACACTATTCACTTCCCAAATCTAAAGTTGCACTCTTAACTACACTATTTGCTCATCCTTTTACATAATCACTATACATACGTTATATTTTATTTTTGTTTATCGAAATTGCTTTCCGTTTCATGTGTGTTTTAACTTGTTAAAATTCAAAAACTCATTTTGCTAACCCCCCAAGGCCTTAACCGAGGTGCTAAGCAAGTTCATAACACCAAAGGTGTTACAAAGAGCTTGCTACACAACTATATATCAAAAGTAAATACAAGAGAGTGAGTAAGGTGATTATACCACCGTGGCAAGAGATCATGAACCAATCAATGAATACCAAAAGAATCATCGGAAGAATTTCAATCACAATTGACACATGATTTTTCTCCCGAGGTTCACACGCTTGCCGGCACGCTAGTCCTCATTGTGTTAACCAACACTTGATGGTTCGACAGCTAATAGGTATCACAAACCTAGCCCAACACTTGGGCGTTGTAAGAACCTATCCATAAGTGAGGTGACTCAATGACACGAGTAATCCACTAGAGTTACCTTTTGGCTCTTCACTGGGAAAGGTACAAGACCCCTCACAATCACCGGGAGATGGCCACGAACAATCACCAACTCGTGCTAAAGCTCCTTCGCTACTCCAAACCATCTAAGTGTTAGCAAACACAAGGAGTAATAAGAAATCCGTAGCCACAACGATCTCCAAGTGCCACTAGATGCAATCACTCAAGCAAATGCACTAGGAATCACTCCTAATCTCACTTTGATGATAAATCAATGATGGAGATGAGTGGGAGGTGTTTCCTTAGGCTCACAAGAATGTATCACTAATGAAAATGTGCAAGAGAGTGAGCCCAAGGTGAACCACTTCTATTTATAGGGCCCCCAAGGCTCAGAGCCGTCGAGCAGCCGGGGCATGACCAGACGCACTGACCGGACGCACCCCAACGTTTGGTCGGCTAGAGTCCGGTCGCCCGATGGATGCCACGCGTCCCCCTTTGAACCTCGCCCGTTCATCTCCAACGGTCACTAGCCAATCGCTCGTGTGAGTTAACATGTGATCGGACGCGCCACTCCAGTGACCTGACACACCACGAAGCGGAGTCCAGTCGTTTCCAGTAAGGGTCCAGGGTGTGTTTTTGAAGATCGGACGTGTCCGGTTAGTGATGACCTGACGTGCCCAGCGTCCGGTCCTTCCCTCTTAGCCACGCGCGCGCCTCAGCACCAAGACTGGACATGTGAACAGTGTTCGCCCGGCGTCCGATCGCGCGTCGCCACCTACGTTCGGTCATGAGGCCGAGCCTCGCCCTCTTAGCGTGTTGTGGCCTGATGCCTCGCTCGAGTCAAGTCCAGCGTCCGATGAGGACTTGGCCCTCTCAGCCACAACCCGCGCCACCTAGGATCATGCACCGGATGCGTCCGATCAAGCCGAGACCAGCGTCTGGTCACGTGTAAGTGACCCCTTCTCTTTTTTATCTCCTCAAACACTTCTCCCTTGTTTCCAAGTTGCTAACCACAAAATGTACAACTCATGTGCCCATGTGTTAGCATTTTTCAAAACATTTTTCAAGGGTTAATTATTAGCACACCAGGTCCCTAAATGCATATGCGTGAATGACTTTACCTAGTGGCACTTGATAATCGCTTAGCGAAAGATTTCTCTTCTTTATAGTACGGCTATCGATTCTAAATATGATCATACTCTCTATAATGTCTTGATTATCAAAACAAAAAACTATTTGATACATTTGCCTTGATCAACACTTGGTTTTTGTTTTTCTCTTTCTTCTTTTCTAAGTTGGAGCTTGATCACCATCATCACATGTCCATCTTCATCTCCATGGATCTCTCGTTGCTCCATCACTTGGCATGTACCAACCTTGCTCAAATCAACACTCATGACAAAGATTAGTACTTAGGTTTCATCAATTATCTAAAACAAAACTAGGGCTTTCATCGGCGCGCCCCCGTGCCTGAGTTCGATCGAGTCCTCCAGAACCGCGCCTCTCTACGCCAAATGACCCGATGCTGCGGCCAGGGACCGGACGCGGCCTGCATGAGTCCGGTCATAGCCACAACAACGCCCGAGGATTAGGGTTTAGTACCGGACCCGCCAGCCAGGGTCCGGTCCATCCCGAGGCCAGAGTCCGGTTGCTCATTTCATCTCCTTTTCAACTTTAACTTCTTTACATTTGCTCCCAAATGCTAACCACAATGTGTCTCACCTTTGTGCACGTGTGTTAGCATATTTTCAAAGCAATTCCAAGGGTGTTAAGTTAGCACACTAGGTCCAAATGCATATGCAACAATGACTTCAGCTAGTCTCACTTGATAACCGTTTTAATCAAGATTCTCCACTCTTAATAGTACGGCTATCTATCCTAAACTCACTCATACCCACTTGGTGTCTTGAGTGGCAAAACAAAATGGCCCTATCAAATATACATTTGCCTTGAGTCCATTTTATTTTTCTCTTTCTTCTTTTTCAAGTTTAGAGCTTGATCATCATCATATGTCCATCATCATCACCATGGACTTCATCTTGCTCCAACACTTGGTCTTGGACCATCCTATCTGGTTTACACACTTAGATCAAGGATTAGCCCAATAAATTTCATCAATCATTCAAAACCAAACTAGAACTTTTAGGTGGCTCGAGCAACGACTCCGGCGCCTTTCCACTGCCTCCGCGGGCCGGTGGCCTGGCTTCCTCCACGGTTTCGAGCGCCACCGTCCTCCTCTCTTCCCTAGCTGAAGTAGGCCTCGGGCTGGCCCAGCCTCCTTGACAGGCCGTGCTTATCGGGCCAGCCTGGCCCGAAAATCGGCCCAGCAGACCGTGCTTGGGCCGTCGGTCAAGCGCGATGCCTGGCTCAGCACGACATGTGCCGTGCCGGCCCTTCGGGCCGTGCCGTGCCGGGTCGGCCCTTTGCCCATCTATAACTGCGCGCTAGTACTAGGGCTAGTTCGACGGCCATAAAAGCTTGCATCAGGATTCGCAAATACTCCAAGCATGGCGGCCGTTTCCTCGATCAAGAAAAAAGATTTGAACTTTGGTCAAAGCATCTAGTACATCTGCACGTTTTTTAACTTTTATTAAGGTACAAGAGCATAGCAGTGTTCCAAACAGCCCGTACTCAGAGTCTCACACGCCCATGCTCACGGAGTCAGGGTCACGGCGCCGAGCCACCGAGACGCACGGCACCCTTGAACAATCGCATTTACGCGTTCACAAGCGTTTCGCGGTCGGACGGGCTGCAAATGTGAACCTGACTAGTAGATTGCAGTCCAAACCAACAGGTAACTGGGCCCTGGCGTGCAAGCAGCAGCCCATCGGCTCCACTCAAGAAAAAAAGAAGAAGCAGTCCATCGGCCCGTGCACGAGCGTCTCCTCGTCCTGCCGGACTGCACCACTGCGTCTGCGACTCTGCGAGTGCGCATCCTCCCCCCTTCCCAGCCGCCCACTCCCTCCCTCGCCCGGTCGCCCCACACGGCGCTGGCGCGTCCAACTCCAACTCAACAAGACATCCATCCATCGACGGCGGCGAAATTGGTGCCGATTTCTAGAGGGTTGTCACTTCACAGGTTAATCAAGCAGACAACGTCGCCGCTTCCAATCGCCGGTGCTCTCTGCCACTCTGTCCTACAGAGCCCGCACCGCGGAAACATTTCATAGGTGCGCGTGCGTGGAGCGGAGGCCATGGCGGCGGCGAAGGTCAAATCGGCCGCCCTCTCCATCACTCACAAGTGCCGGGTACTGCTCGCCAGCAACATCAGCTACCGCTCCGCTCCTCTCTTGTTAGCTACTGGTGTTCTTGTTCTTACTTCCCTCGCCCCTGGTTTCGCAGAACATCTTGGCCGCCGGTTGGGAAGCCCACCTCAACACGGTGAAGGCCGACGCCAAGGGAAGGTGCGTGCGCCCCATTGCTACTCTCTGGATTCATACGCTCGTGTCGTATTATCTGTGTATTTGTGCGAATAAGGTCTGGAACAGTATGAGCTGTTTGTCTTGATTGGTTTTTGTTGGGGTTGCTCTTGGGCAGCAAGGATGAGATTTACACGTCGAGGGTGCACTACATGATCCAGAAGGGGACGCCCTACCTGATTGTCCCTGAGAACGACATGCACAACATTGTAAAACTCTCAATTCCTGTTGTTCGTGTACTTATGATGTTCGATCAATTGTAGTTGCTGTCATAGTTAAATTTTATTAAAATATGTTGCTTGTGTGGAATCTTGTGTTGGATAGAACATTATAATCGACGAGCGGGGGTCTCTTGCAGTATGCAGTCCGATCCGTGGCTGAGTTGCGAGCTTATTGAAGTCACTGAAGAAGGTGGTTCTCTATGAATTTCAACTTGATGGCATTGAAATTGTTGCTCGTTTGCTTTTCTCGTATTGCTTGTACGAGCACTTTAATCTTGTTGCTGAACACAGACGCCTGCTCGTGTTGCTATGACTGGTGATGTTCTGCGCCTGAAAGACTCAAAGGTAAACTTGTTCTCCAGTCCCCAGCATGCATAAACATGCTTCATTGCTTACTATAGGTGGTAAGGTGATGCCTGCTAATCTTTGTGTACTGTGCTGAAGGTTCCAATTATTGCTGATAGCCTGAAGAAAGATATTCTGAAGGAACACGAAGCTGCTAGTGGAGCTAGTTATGGAGTGTCAGCAATACTGTCTTCGGCGGGTGCTACCTGCAGGTCACGGAGTGAGGGCCTCCTCAGTCTACTCAGTGAGGAGAGCTGTTACAGCATCTTAAAATTTGACATAGGGTCTGTAACATGGCTTGTTTATTTTCTGATGTTAGGTATCTTTTCTTATTACTTAATTCAGCACAGCTGAATTTTCATCATTGCTATTCTTGCAGTTCATGTGTCCACATAGACTCCAATGGGACCAGCCATAATATTGAATCGGACAGCTTTGAACCACCAAAAGCAGATCTGCTAAGTAAGTCTTTTTTTTTATTATTCTTACAAGCTCTTTCAACCCTGCTGCCCTGCATCTTCACCTTTATTCTTTTGATGACAGCTATATGCAGACCAAATGTTAAGCTAGATATATAACTCCAGGATGCTACTAGTCAGTTGCTTTCAACAATTATATGTTTCCACGCCTATTTGCACTACGATGTTAATTTTCTAAATATGTATTCAACTTCCTAGTGCCATTCTCTGCAAAGCTTGTGGATGGTATCAACCGAAATGACTCGAGGAGGAGGGCACTGATGATTTTCTGTTTTGAGTATTTTAATGTGATAGCTAGAGTAAGTTATTCTCTTGTATCTGCACACATTGCAATGTTGCATAGGATGCTCTGTTAGTTTCTGTGGATCGACTAGGGTAGATCTAGGCGGATGTGTTGTTGAACATGATGAACTAGAACAAGCAGAGAGTGGGAGGAAGGAGAGGGGTGCTGGTGTTGAACCTGAGCCCTCGGGAAGTCGCGGTTGAGCCGGCCATCTCGGCTTTCTTGATGGAGGCAAGACACGGGCAAATGACGACAGGTGGAGTAGAGGTTGCACGGACGTCGATGCGGTCAGACGGATTGACGACGTAGTGAGTGATGATTTACTTACGACGTCAAGTCGGAGCTTCCTGTCATTGGGTCAGCGCGCCTCTTAGATCGGTCTAGGGTTTGTCGGTGGGGCTTGCGGCTCACGGCGAACCTCGTGCCTCGAGCCGTCGGCCCCCCACCTCTTTATATAGCGCAATGCGACGGGGGCCCACCAACCATGTAGGGTTGGGCGCCCCGATCAGGGCGCGTGACCAAGGCCCAATAGGCCGTTGGGCTTATTGGTTGAGAGATCACTCTAACATTCTCCCCCTTGATCTCACTATTACTTTTATCTTTAAACTTTAAACTTCAATTCTTTTATCCTTACTCATTTCTTCACAGATGATGCATAGAGCATGTCTCATCGTCACGGTCAATCGTCGATAGATTTAACATCTACAATGCACGTCTCTGATCTGAAATAGTTACTTTAACTTTTGGGCCCTTTATAGTCCAGGAATCATAGGCTTTCCCTTAAACCCATGCCGGCTACATGTTCTCTGAACACGTTGGGTGGTAAGCCTTTTGTAAGCGGATCCGCGAGCATCTTTTCGGTACTTATATGCTCAAGACTTATCATTTGATCTCGGATTTTATCCTTCACAACATAATACTTTATGTCAATGTGTTTGGCGTAACCACTTGACCTATTGTTGTGAGCATACTTTGTCTTCTTTGGATTATTATCGCGAAAGATAACTTCGATGGTCTATTGATGTCGCCAACCACCTTCAAACCGGGTATGAACTTCTTTAGCCAGCCACCGCCTGCTGTTCCTCATAACACGCTACAAACTCGGCATACATTGTGGACGATGTAGTGACGGTTTGCTTTGAGCTTTTCCATAAAATAGCTCCCCCTGCCAGAGTGAACACACATCCAGACGTGGATTTTCTATTATCTCCCGCATAATCAGAATCTGAATATCCCACTATATGGAGTGAATCAGATCTTCTATACGTCATCATGAGGCCTTTTGTTCCTTGCAAATAACGCAAGACTTTCTTTACCAATTTTCAGTGTTCTATTCCAGGATTGCTCTGGAATCTGCCAAGTAATCCGGTAACAAATGCCAAGTCAGGGTGCGTACACACTTGAGCATATTGCAAGCTTCCGACAGCTGAAGCATATGGAACCACTTTCATTTGATCGATCTCATATTGGTTCCTGGGGCATTGAAAATCTCCATATCTATCGCCCTTGGCTATAGGAGCAGGTGAGGGACTACATTTGTGCATACTGAATTTCTTTAAGACTTTTTCTATGTATGCCTTTTGTCACAGTCCTAATACCCCTTTACTTCTATCTCGGTGAATCTCGATCCCTAGAACGAACGAAGCTTCACCAAGATCTTTCATATCAAATTTTGAGGACAAAAACTTCTTTGTTTCCAGTAGTAGACTGACATCACTACTAGCAAGTAAGATATCATCCACATACAGGACAAGGAAGATAAACTTCCCATTCTTAAACTTTGTGTAGACACAATTGTCCTCAACATTATCTTTAAACCCAAAATTCTTTATTGTCTGATCAAACTTCAAGTACCACTGTCTTGAAGCTTGTTTTAATCCATAAATGGATTTCTTTAGGCGGCATCCTAAATGTTCTTTTCCTTCCATGACAAAACCTTTCGGTTGTGCCATGTAAACATTTTCTTCTAAGTCTCCGTTGAGAAATGCCGTCTTTACATCCATCTGATGTAATTCTAAATCGTAATGTGTCACTAATGCCATTATGATTCTGAAGGAATCCTTACATGAGACTGGAGAAAAGGTCTCATTGTAATCAATCCCTTCTCTTTGTGTAAAGCCTTTTGCCACAAGTCGGGCTTTATATCTCTCTATATTTCCTTGAGAGTCAAGTTTTGTTTTGTAGACCCATTTACAGCCTACTGTTTTGGCTCCTTTAGGAATTATCTCCAAATCTCAAACTTTATTTGCATTCATTGATCTCATCTCATCTTCCATGGCCTCAAGCCACTTTGATGAATGATCACTTTTCATGGCTTCTTCAAATGAGGTGGGATCATTCTCCATTTGAAATTCTTTAGTGTTGTACACTTCATAATCAGCAGGAATAGCTGATTTTCTAACTCTTTGAGACCTTCTAGGGGCCTCCTCATTTGGTATATTTTCTGTTTGAGGCTGTTGTTGCTCCCCCTCATGTGTGGCAATAGGTTCTATAGGATCCTGAAGAACAGGTTCCTCATCATCATTCATTGTTGCCACACAAAGAGATAACAACAGTCTTTGGCACCACAAAGTGTCTTATACTTGTCGGTCAAAGCAACAACAGTAGTAGTGAGAAAAAATGGCTCATGAATTATTGGAGTGGGTGCATACATCCGCTTCTCTTCAAGGTCAATTTCTCGAGCTACCATGCTCCCCTAATCATTTCATCCTCTAGGAAGACAAATGTCTCTCTTCCACAAACTTTGTATGTCTCATTAGGGACAAGAGAAACGAAAATCTTTTGACTTTTCTCGGGTAGCCAATGAAATGGCAACTCACCGCTTTTAGGATCTAGCTTCCCAATGTTTGGGTTAAAAACTTTAGCCTCAAATAGGCTCCCCACACACACGCAAGTGGTTAAGTGAGGGTACTCTTCCCCGTCCACAACTCATACGGTGTTTTGGGCACCGACTTACTTGGTACTCTATTGAGAATATGAATATCGGTTTTTACGCCTCCATCCATAGACTCATCGGTAAAGTGGAGTAACTTATCATACTACGCACCATATCCATCGAGGTACTGCAGTTCGCCTTTCACTTACTCCATTCTCACGAGGTTCACCCGGGTGTGGAATCTTGGGCTACTATGCCATTCTCCTGTAAGAACCTTGCAAAAGTCTAGGAACTTGGCCATATAGGGTATGCCGAATCGTAGTACTCTCCCCACGGTCGGACACTTCGACTATCTTAATCTTTAAATCATGCTGATTTTCAACTTCTGCTTTAAATATTTTGAATTTATCCAATGCTTCTGTTCTTTCTTTAATTGGATAAATGTAGTCAAAACGAGAGTAATCGTCTGTGAATGTTATGAATGAATCATAACCATCCACACTTTTCACAGGAAAAGGACCACATATGTCTGTGTGAATAATTTTAGAATTTCTACGCTTTATTTGGCATCTTTCTTAATTTTCTTTACATACTTTCCCTATATGCAATCTCTACATTGTTCTAAATCTGAGAGCTCTAATGGAGGAAGAATATCATTCTTAACTAGTCTTTCTATTCTCCCCCTCGAAATATGGCCTAAACGACAGTGCCATAATTTCGACAACGCATCGTGAGCTCTCTTTCGTTTTCTGTTTGCATTGTTCGATGAGGATACATTCTCATTCACATCACATACGGAATTCACATTTTCACAAAGTGATAACAAATAAAGCTCGTCTTGTCGGAAGACAAGACCAACACATTTATTATTAAACAATATCTGACATTTGTCATTTCCAAAATGGCAATCATAACCATCATGGTCCAACTTTGATACACTAATCAAGTTTCTTTGCAAAGAAGGTACATAAAGAACATCTCTAAGAAAAAGTATGAAGCCATCAGCAAGCTCTAGCGGAAGATCGCCAACGGCCTCAACATCTGCTTGTACTCCATTTGCGATTTTAATGAAACTTTCGCTTCTTTGCAAAGTTCTCATCGAACGGAATCCCTGTAATGAATTAGCAACATGAATAGTTGCACCTGAATCAATCCACCAAGTAGATTTTGAAAACTTTACATACAAGGATTCATTTACAAATGTAATGATGTTCTCACCTTTATTTTTCATAATCATCTTTAAGAAATCAGGACAATTCTTTTTATAATGTCCCGTCTTCTTGTAGTAGAGACACTGGTCTTTATCCACTGGGAATTGCTTGTTCGAGACTCACTGCATGGGACCTTTTCCGGATGACTTGGAGGAAGAGTCATTATTATAGTTCTTTTTCTTATCTTTTAGGTAGTTGATGTACCACCACGTGAAACTTTTATTCTTTCCTCCTCCGCACACACACATGGCTATGAGCTTTTCTAAATCCCATTTTTCAGTCAGATGTTGTAATTAACAACAAAGGTGTCAAATTCTTTGGGCAAAAAAGCAAAAAATCAAATGAATAAGAAACTCATCCTTGAGTGCCAAATCCATTGGTTTGAGCTTAGATGCTAGATTGCTCATTCTTAGTATGTGCTCTCTAATGCCACTGCCGCCACCAGAGTACCTTTTTTCTTACAAATTGCTTGATCACCGGGTTGCATATGTCTTTGAAGAGCCAATAAAACCTGACTTTTTTATTCTTTCTAGGTACTACTGTGACTGCAAATTGAGCCGAATTGAGCCCACAATAGCGAGGCTCAATCGTTTTTTTTATCAACGCCAAACACTTCTTGTTGGCGGTGACCCATTTCCTATGCTCAAGGTCATAGGACATCTTTACGGGAGCAAAATCCCGCTCTGCTCGCCATGCAAAGATCGGGCTCATCTGTCTCCCTCACACGGTGCCACAGTTTCTGCAGGGCACGGTGTGTGACAACCCATCCACCTCAAATGAGGATGAAAGCCAGTTCTATCTTTTTCTTCCACTCAATATAGTTATCACCTTTTAGAGTGGGGATCTCTTTGATACAGCTCATCAAGTTGTATCCTCCTGAAAACACAATTCAAATAGTGTGAGAACACAAATAATAACAACAATAATTGCATGTCTTAGTTTAATGTTGGTCAAAATTAAAACATATAATTATTTTATACATTAAATCTACATCACCGTTGGGCAGAAATAGAAATAATGCATAATCATTAAAATTATAATATTGCTATTAACAACGTTGGTCAGAAAATAACAATATCATAATCAACTCATATTTATCTCTTGGCTCTTCAAATCAAATTCTTCCGTTGGTTCGAATTTAATTAAAAGTCCATAATTACTTTAAATACGCAGGGGAAACATTAACATTCAATAATCATTTTCCTATTTTTCAAAAGCAACTTTACTATTTACTGAACAAAAAATATCGTTGGATAAATTTTGTACAGAAAATTATCATAAAAATTCAATTCAAATTGATCAAATTGTTTTCTGGAAAATAAGAAAAAAAACTGTGAATGTACTATTTGTTTGGCCATTTTGGCCCGATCCAAAGAATAAAGTCTTGCTGCCCAAATAAAATGCGGCCCATGGCCTCGCTTCACGCTTGGCCACCAGCCGCCCTCAGCCCATACCTGCTCATGCCCCCAGCCGTGGCGTGGCGCGTCTCCCAGCGCCCGAGCCGCAACTCTGGGCTCGGGCGGATTTCGGCCGAGCGAGAAGGCGCCGCTTAGGGCCAAAGAGGCCCGAGCCCTCCTGGCCGTTGATCTCAGGGCAACGAGATCCGACGGCACATCACATGTTTCGGAGGAATAAAACCGGCAGCAGCGGCGATCCCCTAAAACCCTAACCTCCATTTCCATTCGCACACTCTCTCTCTTCGCCTCACTGCTCTCCCCTTCTCTCCTCAGTCCATCACCGAGCGAGTGACCACGGCCAGCGCCAATGGCGAGGTCCGTTGCCGTCGCCGCCCCTCGCGCCAGCGTCGGGCTCCCAATGGGTGGCGCGCCCATTGCCGAGCGCCTGCTTGCTGGCGCCTGCGGCCGGATCCCGTGAGCGGAGCCCCTACCGGCCTTTCTTTTTTCCCAGCGCGGCGTGGATCATGGTGCTTGCCACGACGGCGAGGTAGGCCACCCCCTTCCCTTTCTTCCCCTTTCTTTGATTCATTTGTTCGGATTTTGGCCCGATTTGCCGATTAGGGTTAGGGTTAGGGTTGGGATGGCCACTGTTTTCTTTTTCCCCCGATTTGAAATCGGTTCTTTCTTTCCTTTTCCCGAGCTCTCTAGAGTTAGGGTTAGGTGTTTGCTTCTATTGAATCCGAATCGAGTTCGAATTTACTTTTCTTTTCTTTCATTTTTCGTTGCTTTTGATTCGGAAAACCGAGATCTACACCCTAGGCTGACTAACTGCTAGGGTTAGGGTTCCCTTTTTTTTGTTGAAACCGTGTCCACTTTTCCCGTACCCGATCTGATTTAGGGTTCGATTTCTTTCTTTCCCCGATCCAGATCTACCGCTAGAAAGGCTCTGGTACCATTGTTAGTTTCTGTGGATCGACTAGGGTAGATCTAGGTGGATGTGCTGTTGAACATGATGAACTAGAACAAGCAGAGAGTGGGAGGAAGGAGAGGGGTGCTGGTGTTGAACCTGAGCCCTCGGGGTGTCGTGTTGAGTGGCCATCTCAACCGGGTGATGGAGGCAGCACACCGGCAGCGACGGGTGGAGTAGAGGTTGCACGGACGTCGATGCAGAGACGGACGGCGTAGCAGTGACGACGGCGAAGTCAGCGGAGCTTCCCGTCGCTGGCTGCGCGCCCTCTTCGATCGGTCTAGGGTTTGTCGGTGGGGCTTGCGGCTCACGGCGAACCTCGTGCCTCGAGCCGCCGCCCCCCCACCTCTTTATATAGCGCAGTGCGACGGGGGCCACCAACCATGTAGGGTTGGGCGCCCCCGATCAGGGCGCGTGACCAAGATCCAATAGGCCGTTGAGCTTATTGGTTGAGAGATCGCTCTAACATGCTCTTGTTGTTTCTGATATGTGCGTCTTCTTTCTTGTTGTCTGAATTATGGCCTTTCTGTTAGTTCAGTACAATTAACTATCATATCTATCTTTGCTTGAAGAGCGCTGTCATGCTTTCCATTGACCACCACGGTTTTGATGTCCTCGCCAAAGTGCCTGAAAGAGCCATCCTTACTGATGTCCCTCGACAATACCACTGGAAGGAGTTCAGGTTCACATTCAAGGAACCAGCCAAGGATGCTGAGGACTTCTGCCGCATGTTGGTTGGGTTCGAGCAAGAGGTTTTGAAGAGCGTGAAGAGCTTTAGCGGTTTAGGGTGACAGCCCACTTAGCAGAATCTGAATCAGTGAGGAACTATATCTGATATTCGGATTCTGATACTCATCTTTTATGGTTGGAAGTTTGAAGTATGGTTTCATGTTGCTGTGTTATTGGACAATATGGTTTCTTGAAGTTTGTAGAGTAGATGATGTTTGAACATGGAGCGCAAACTGCTAATTCTGATTGAATGATATTCAGTGTTGACAGTGAAACCCTGAATTGCAAACCTAAAATTTATATATTTAGATTTTTACAGCCTGCATGATTGATTTTTGCGTGCATCTTATTATTATTTGTTAGCCTAGTGCTCCTGTTGTTAAGCTTCAGGCTTTTTCTGAAATCTTAGTTATTCATCATTGTATTGCGTAGGTTAATAAAGGTTTTTAGCCATCTAAAATAGATTTTGAAGACGAATACATAAAAAAAGGACGTATCTAGTGCAGAGAGCTCCCGCCCTGTACGGAGTCTAGCGAAGGGTGTTAGTGGCCAGCTTTATCCTCGCTTGTGCAATACGAGGAGATCGCGACTCGAACCGATTTCCTCGAACCCGGAACCTTCCGGTCACAGGCGGTAAGACTCTACCGCTTGCATCAGGTCCGCCCTTTCGAAGACAAATACATGCAGGAATGAAAAGTATAGTATACTGATCAATCACTATTTATAGCCAGGGTAATAATATAAACTTAAACATGAACTAGGGGCCCTGTATATGGCCGAAAAAGAAATTGCATAAAAAGAGTACTAGGATCCACTTTGTAATTATTTAAGCAAAACTATATATATCAAAATGTCCTCATTTAGTCGACTTCTTCGATCTTGGGGCCTGCACCGCTGCCACCAGCCGGCGGAGCATCCTGATCCATGCCACCGGCCATGTCAGGACCAGCGGCGCCCTGGTACATCTTCGCGATGATGGGGTTGCAGATGCCCTCCAGCTCCTTCATCTTGTCCTCAAACTCGTCGACCTCGGCGAGCTGGTTGTTGTCGAGCCAATTAATGGCCCCCTCGATGGCGTCATCAATCTTTTTCTTGTCGGCCTCCGGGAGCTTGGAGGCGATCTTGTCGTCCCTGATGGTGTTGCGCATGTTGTAGGCGTAGTTCTCGAGCGAGTTCTTGGCGTCCACCTTCTTCTTGTGCTCCTCGTCCTCGGCCTTGTACTTCTCTGCCTCCTGCACCATCTTCTCGATCTCCTCTTTGCTCAGCCGGCCCTTGTCGTTGGTGATCGTGATCTTGTTCTTCTGGCCGGTGGTCTTGTCCTCCGCCGACACGTTGAGGATGCCGTTGGCGTCCATGTCGAAGCACACGGTGATCTGGGGGACACCCCTGGGCGCCGGAGGGATGCCAGAGAGCTCGAACTTGCCGAGCAGGTTGTTGTCTTTGGTCCTGGCCCTCTCACCCTCGTACACCTGGATGAGCACGCCGGGCTGGTTGTCGGAGTACGTGGAAAAGACCTGCTCCTTCTTCGTCGGGATGGTGGTGTTCCTGGGGATGAGCACCGTCATGACACCTCCGGCCGTCTCCAGGCCGAGCGAGAGCGGCGAGACATCGAGCAGGAGCAGGTCCTGCACCTTCTCATTGCCCTCGCCGGTGAGGATGGCGGCCTGGACGGCGGCGCCGTACGCGACAGCCTCGTCTGGGTTGATGCTCTTGCACAGCTCCTTGCCGTTGAAGAAGTCCTGGAGCAGCTGCTGCACGCGGGGGATGCGGGTGGAGCCGCCCACGAGCACGACGTCGTGCACGCTGCTCTTGTCCATCTTGGCGTCGCGGAGGCACTTCTCCACGGGCTCCATGCACTTGCGGAAGAGGTCCATGTTGAGCTCCTCGAACCGGGCGCGGGTGATGGTGGTGTAGAAGTCGATGCCCTCGTAGAGCGAGTCGATCTCGATGGTGGTCTGGGCGGTGGAGGAGAGCGTCCTCTTGGCCCTCTCGCAGGCGGTCCTCAGCCGCCGGAGCGCCCTGGGGTTGCCGGTGATGTCCTTCTTGTTTTTCCTCTTGAACTCCTGCACGAAGTGGTTCACGAGCCGGTTGTCGAAGTCCTCGCCTCCCAGGTGGGTGTCGCCAGCGGTGGCCTTGACCTCGAAGATGCCCTCCTCGATGGTGAGGAGCGAGACGTCGAAGGTACCGCCGCCGAGGTCGAAGATGAGGACGTTCTTCTCGCCGTCGCTGCTCGACTTCTTGTCGAGTCCGTAGGCGATGGCCGCGGCCGTGGGCTCGTTGATGATGCGCATGACGTTGAGGCCGGAGATGACGCCGGCGTCCTTGGTGGCCTGGCGCTGGGAGTCGTTGAAGTAGGCCGGGACGGTGACGACGGCGTTCTTGATGGTGGTGCCGAGGTAGGCCTCGGCCGTGTCCTTCATCTTGTTTAGGATCATGGAGCTGATCTCCTCGGCCGAGAACTGCTTCTCCTCGCCCCTGAACTGCACCCCGATCATGGGCTTGTCGCCGGAGCCCGGGATCACCTTGAAAGGCCACAGCTTTACATCACTCTGCACCGACGCGTCAGAGAAGCGCCGCCCGATGAGCCGCTTCGCGTCTGCAAACGGATCAACAAACCACGCAGCGTATTAGATCCACACCCCGCGTATGAACGGATCAAGCAAACAGATAAACAGCGTTCACATAACAAAAGAAAGATCGATGCTGCTGGACTTACCGAAGACGGTGTTGATGGGGTTCATGGCGACCTGGTTCTTGGCCGCGTCGCCGACGAGCCTCTCGGAGTCGGTGAACGCGACATACGACGGCGTTGTGCGGTTGCCCTGGTCGTTGGCGATGATCTCGACACGGTCATGCTGCCACACCCCGACGCACGAGTAGGTCGTGCCGAGGTCGATGCCGATCGCCGGCCCGTCTCCCTTTCCGGCCATGGAGAGACGCTCTCGTCGAGAGTATCGGGGAGAAGGGGAAAAAAATATCTACTGGACTCGCCGGGTCAGCGCGTACGTGGTGGAGGAATTGAGGAGGAACGGAGGAACCGATGGACGAGGAGGGAGGCGACGGGGGCTGGATTTAAAGGTTTGTGTGGCCGGGGAGGGGTTCTAGAAAGTTCCGGCGCGTCCCGGCCGTCGGATGCGATCTGGGCAGTGGTGCCGTCGAAACGGGCGCGTCGTGGGGAACTTGGACCCGTTCGTGGGGGCTAATTCCGGCAGCCAACTGTGAGGGTGGGGGATTCTAGACTGTACCGGAAGGTTCTGGAGATGGAGACGTTCCCTCTCGCGTCGTGGGTGACTGGCGGTTGATGCGTTGCTTCGGCGTGTTGCCGTGTTGGGTTCGATCCCATTTCGGAGGCCGCCGAGTTTGAGTGTTTGACCGAGGAAGGTTCTTGCTTATTTTTGGCACAGCAGGCCACGAATTCCTTCGAAATTTGGCCGTCTGTGTAAGCCAGGCCTGTTTCACGGCATGTTCGGAAGGCCGTATCGTATCGTGGATTATTTACTGTTGGCGGGTTTGGTGTGAGAGAAAAACACTATTCCTAACTAAAATTTACGATCGTTTACTAGCAAACGAACAGGCTGTCAAAGAGTCCCAAGCATGTGCCACGGCCCAGTGACATTTTATCTCCATCATCCAATAGAAAGGGGCCTAGATTTCCTAAAAGATAATCATCAAGACGCGTCCCACACACGCTTCGATTCTGCGGTTTCGGTTAGCAGTCGGTGGTGTGTGGTGCAACACCCACAGTCCCACACTGCCACGCAAAAGGAATCGCGGTGCCATCTCGCCGTCTTTGCTTTCCGGCGGTCTGGAGGAGAACCTACTCCGTGCAGTGATGCAGACGCTCGTTGGGCCCTTCATCAGATTCGCAGCCCATAACCTATTCCATCGTCGCGGTTTGCGGTCAAATATTCTCGCACCAAAGCTACACATTCCAGGGATTAGGAATTGAACCATCTTGAAAAAAAAAGAAATTCATGAACTTGGATTATGATAACTTAACTTTGATAGTTGACCTTTCTGGGTCTAATCTGGATGTCCTTAATAACCTAGAATGGATTGTTCAGCTGGAATATCCACAGTTCAATTTGCCACAAGAGTAAGCCATACCTTGGCATGAGTATATGTGGACAGAGTGCTGGGGGTATTTTCTTGCACATGACAGATTTGCTCAAAACAGTGACTTCTGCACCTTCTGCATTCCTGAAGCCAAAATGCGCTCTCTGGGACTGCCCCAGGCCTGCTATTGGATCAGAAAGTTGGCATGATTATTGTAGCATGTATCATGTTGATTTGGCTGTGCAGGAAGAGGGCGCTCCAGGCAAAATAACTGTGATTCGTCCAAGAGGCATTAATCTGCTGTTTGTGTCAGTGCAAAAATCCAAGGAAAAATGTTGGGGTCCCTATCTATGAAGGAGCTGCTACTGCAAAGTCTCCGTGGAATGCACCTGGTAAGGTTTTCATTCATGACTTGTGCCTATACATGGTACTGATGAACGTTTTTACTAATCCTTAGCCATCCTCTATTATTGCAGAACTTTTCGATCTTTACATCTTTGAAGGTGAATATATCATAGAATGGTTTTCTTTGACAAACCAAGGAGGGCATTTGACAGTGGAAATCGGGAGCAGTGGTCCTTGCTAGATTACAACAGCCGTGGTTGGCATGAATCTAGGAAGCAGGTGATGGACTTTTGGGTTCTGAAGAGGTCCTATTACATGGATCCACAGCCATCTAACAGTTATGAATGTCACATCTATGAATATGAGATCATTGACTATGATGTTTTTGCCTTATATCGGCTTGAAATTCAAATCTTCAGATGCAAAGAAGATTGCTAAATCAAAATTAGCTTGTAATCCACTGAATGAAATTCAGCAGCAAACGCTTAGACTCAGTGCAGACAATCCTGTAGACACCAAACGGGCAACCCAGAGAACAAAGGCTAACCCAATAGAATGATGTGAACATCGCACTCAAAATATTGTTTTTTTATTATAGTAAGTGTACAACACACTCTTGAATTTAAATTGTCATGATATTATTTTTTCCCCGTAGCAACACACAGGCATGATCCTAGTGATTGAAACATAATTAAACATTATGTGTCAAATGGAACAACATTTCTAAAGTTATGCAAAAAATTGGAACAAATAATTTAACGGAAACGCTATAAGTCAACCGCATGATTTACTTGTCACTATCAACCGAATTTTCCAGCATTGGATCTTGACTCTGGCCCGAGAGCTGCCGCTCGATCTATCGGATGCCTGCAGCGTCACGCCACCCCAGCCCTTCGAGCGTTGGATCTGATTGATTGCGTTTCTCATCTCTGGGTGGACTTGCTGCTTGCAGATGCCACGGTACGTGTGCAGCCCGGGGTACGGCCCGCACGCCGGCCTCGTCGCCGATGATGATGAAGCAGCTGTAGCAACTCATGCCGACGCAAAGAACAACAACACATGTGGCAGTACCATGTCTCGGAATACCAGCCAAGGCTGAACGCTACGCCTTCCTCAGCGTCGGTGGCGGAAACGTGACACGACATTTCAAAATTTTGTGAAGATTTTGTATTTTTTTTTTTAAATTTGTGAAGAATTTGTGAACAATTTAACATATATTTCTCTGATGTCTGAAATCCATAGAAATAATTTGTAAATTTTTTTAAAAAATTTAGTATATATTTGTGTTATTCCCAACTTATCACTCTGTCCAATAAATTACACTGAAAAAATCATTGTAAATATAATATTAAGACAGTGTTGTTAACACTGGATTTTGGTCGACTTCGGAAGATGACAGGTGGACCCGCATACAGGAAGAAGGACATTCGGCAAACAAAACGAGCGGTCGGCTAAATGCTTATGCGGTTGGTTACTTCAGAAGGTGGTGACTCCATTCGGGAAAGCAGAAGATGACAGGCAAAGCCGATCGAAAAGATGAAAGTTGTAATAATAAAGGACTCTGAGAGTTTAGGGCAAGGAATCGTAGTTTCCAAGTTTGTTTAAGAGTTCCTTTGTAAATCGTAGTCTTTTAGGACTCGTGTTTTGTCTAGGGTATAAATATTGACCCTCGATCATTGTAATAGGCGTTCACAACCAAATCAATACAACCGGCCCCGTGTCAACTTTCGAGTCCTTTTGTCATGTCGTCGAGTTCTTCGAGAGGAGTCATCGATCCGTCGACCTCTGTAAGTTCCGACAACCTTGTTATCATGTTTAGTATCATGCGGTGGATTTAGACGTGATGCAAGTAGTCTTGTTTGTTTTCAATGATCCTGCGGCGGATCTTTGCTTGACAATCAAGAAGTCTTTGCTTATGCTTTGTTTATGAGTAGATACCGTGCGGCAGGCGTTTGCTCAATATGCTTAGTGAAGGCAAGACAGTTATCGGCTCTATTAGATACGGCAAAATCTAAATAGATTCATTAAGTTATCCTGTGTTGCATGTTTTAAATATTTTATATATTTGTAACACACTTCTGCCCAATCTAGATTGATATTGTTCGCCCTCTCTTATAGTTTTATTCGTGCTTCAATGATCATTACTTTCAGATTACCTTTGCAAATAGATAACATGCTCGTAATGGCTGAATTATTTTAATCTAGATTGTCACATGTCGTGGGTTCATGCATGTTAATTACGTTTAAGCTTTGACGAAACTAGGTGTCGTGCGGCAGATGCAGGTTTTAGATTAGTTTAATCGTGTTTATTTGCATGTTCCTTCTTCATGGACCCCAACTCGGCTGGATTGCTGAGCTTGGTTATGCATTAACTCATGATTAATTTCACTTGTTCAAACATGTCTTCCCATGCACATGCATTCGCAATCGACCTTTTACGTGTGCTCATCTTACAATTAGCCGAATGGTTTATAAACTTGTCGGCGGATAGCTTCCTATAGTCGTATGTCGCTGTAAGTGGCTTCAGGTCAGATATATGGAACTATGCGGTCTCACCCGACATGTTCCGGTTTGGCATTTAACTGCTTTTATCCCTTGTTAGTTTTTTTCAGTCAAACCGACCGCACGCGTTTTCGGATCACGAAGCACTGGGCACCCAATTGAAGCCACGCTTTCCGAACTGCTTGTGTGTGTGGGCACACAGTCGTCACATTTTGTGTCAACACACTTTTTAGCACGCTTGGTGGGACAATCTGTTAGTTCAAGATGGCGCCCGAGATCAACAATGATCATGTTCGGATGTGAGCATGGCGTAATTGCCGATAATTACAGGATTTAGTGCTACAAGCATGTGAGCAATACCAACGGAAGTGTTTGATGTCTTTTTCCAAAAACAAGAGCAATAAAGTGTTTCAAAAGCGCCAATGCCAAGGGTTCTTCTTCCACATCAAACCGATTACACTCAAGAGGAGGATGCTCGTAAGATGGCAGCCCCGGTTTATAAAGCTATGGGAGAAACCATGACAAACCATCACACGCCTTTTCCGAATACCTTTTGGGCAATCATGATCAGACTTTTGGTCCAATGGTTGATAAGTACTTTAAAGAAAATGTTGGCCCACCTGGGTGGACCGACACTTTTCAATGTTCCAAAGCATCAAGAGAAGCCTGTTGGAAAAGAAGGACCATCGACTTCAAATATAGGTGGATTGACTCACACCGAAAAGCAATCACATCCCACCTATGGCGGTGTAACATTTGGTACCACAGAGAAGTGCCACCTTCACTTATAGAGTTTCTCCAAAGATCAAACAGATTGCGTAAGAATATGTATGGAGATGGGTATCAAGAATTTATCGATTACAATGCTATCAATGCCGTGCCAAATCCAGGTATAGGAGTGTTTCAGATTGCCTTCTCGGAGTACAAGTACAAGGAAATCAGATTTAGGCATTGATGTTTTGACGCATTGTGATGGCCGATATGATGCGAGAATCAGTTCGGCTTGAAGCCAAAAAATCAATCCTAT